CGGGTGGGTTAGGTGGTCGGTTAGGGGGTGGTGAGGGGGTGGATGAGTGGGTTTGAGCGAGTGAGTGAGTAGGTGGGTGAGCGGGTGAGCGGGTGGGTGAGTAGGTGGGTGAGCGGGTGTGTGGGTGGGTTGAGTTACGGGGTGGGTCACTCAACCCTGACCGCCCCCCCACCCGCCCCCCCCCCCCCCCCCCCCCCCCACTCCACCCCTCACCCCCCCCCCTAACTCACCCCTAACCCCCCCAACCCAAACCCTAAACCCCCAACCCAAATCCTAATCCCCCCAACTCAAACCCCCCCCCCCTAACCCAACCCACCCACCCCTAACCCAACCCACCCACACACCCGCTCACCCACCTACTCACCCACCTACTCATGACTATGCTTAGGTGGGCTTAAATAAGGCACTTTATCCTATTTCGCTGTACAGAACTGTAGAGTACTACTCATTTTATTTTTTCAGAGAACAACTGATAATGATAAATAATTATGTTAATAACAATACAGTTGGATTACCTACACACAATTTCAGTGAGTTCTTTTTAAAGAAAATTATTAACCAACTTTAAAAAATTAAGAGGTTCTCTATTCGACTGTTTTTTTTTGTATGTACGCGATTATTCCGGTATTTGTGAACCGATTTTGATGGTTATTTTTTGTTGGAAAGAAGGTACCTCTTTATTGGTCCCATTTCATTTTGAAGAAAATATTCCAGCTCTATGTGGTGGTGGTGGTGGTGGTGGAGGGATCAATCCGGTTTCGCGCACTTTCCGGTAACCGATTTCAATAAAATTTGGCAAATAGATGTACTTCCACGAACTTTTGGGGTAGGTTTTTTTTCTATAAAAAAGTTATAATTATAATATTTTTTTTATTAAAGTCGACAACTACGTACAATAATCGACAACGATATTTCAATAAAATGACATCGCGAATACTTAGTTACTGCCGTCTGACGTCACCAGTCTCTTCAGTCTGCAGTCCGGGGCGCGGGGGTTGAAAGCGTGGGCGACAGACGCTTTTATCACGCCACGACCATTAACAAATCGATAAACCTAAAATATTTATATTTACCGCATTTGTCAAATAAATTAAGAAATATTTCTTTTAAAAATTTTAAACGGTCATTAGTACACGCAATTTATTCTCAACAATAATTTGTGTTTCTATATGCTCATTAACGAAAGTTGTTGTGAAGGGACGCGTTTTATATTTCGATGCTGGAGCAGCCGAAAAACCGTTTGCAGATTTATTATTCTCTTTATTTTTCAAAAGATACCACTTCAATATACCCTTACTATGCACGGAGAAAAGATAAAAAAATATTCGATGTTGTCTCATTTTATGTACTTAATATGCTTCAACAGTGGTGTCACATCGGAGGCAATTACAGAGTAATTTGATGCCTATTTTTTTGTTAAATACAATACATTCATGCGAGTAACTTTTCCTTATTTTAATTAAATAAACAGGAAAATCACTGGTGAAATCAACTAAATTGGCTTGTGTAGAGAGAGAGAGACTACTTGGCAACCGCCTACTTAATGTAACAATTCTGACAAATAGTATACTTTTCGGAAGTCTACATGCTACTGATATTATAGATATTATCTTACATAGTGGATCTCATTGAAATGACTAATGAATCAATGGGAAAGCGGCTAAAGCATTTTCCTTTAGGGGGTGAAAGCCCTCAAAGTCACGTACAATATGCACATATTATTTGAATTATGCATAGCCATTGCGTATGTAAGGGGAAAACTGGAATTATGCAATATGATCCAGACATGACAATGGCACATAGTTATATACGAGACTTCTAGTACGCATGTTATAACGACATCTATGCGGCTCGGAATGCAAAAGCAAACTAAAAACAGCTCGCCAAAAATCAGCAGATAATCCTGGGGACTAACCAATTTTGCTAAACAAATATCCACTATGTGGGTGAGATATTCTCAAAACAAAAGAAGTCCTCAAGTAAAATATATCAAGGAAAAAATTAATCCACGGCTAAACATAGTCATGAAATAAATGTTAGCGTGTTTATTACAGCTGTTGGTAGTGAATTTTATGGCTTATGAGGGTCATTTTGTTATCTGTTGTTTATGACCGTAAAACTCGAGTTCACACAAACACATTTAGACGTGCGTTTATTTTTTGTTTAAGTCTTCTGGGAAGATGACACTGTTATCTTTGTTCTAATTCCCCACGCAGAGATATCAGTAGGAAATAGTGTCTAGTACGGCAGGCTCGGGATCTTTTGTGTCTCCCTGAGAGCGTGCTTCAGCGTCGGCCGGAAAAGTAGGTATTCAGTTGAGTTTGAATGTTGGTTTGTATTCACTTCACATTACACTAGCTCGCACTATCTTCTTGACCCAATTGTTAGAAGACAAGAGAAATTTCATAACGAAATAGCACTTTATAATTCAATGACCTCAAAATGTTACGATTCATAAAAACTAATCAATTTCCTTGCCACTTGCGAAGCAACAGTCAAAACTATTAGTGAATGTAGTCATCAGTCACCAGACAATCATCGCAACATTGCGTCAAGATCACTTAAAGTAGGTGTAAGAACTAGTGAGTAACAAGTAACCGCAGTGAGTTACGTCAATTACCAGTTTGGTGATGTTAAATGAAATGTTTGTCATCAATCATACTTGTGTACTCTACTACAAACGTCCCAGAAATTAAAAGGAACGTACATATCTCGTACGGTATGTATTTTTAATTATTAATCTACAACGACCACATAGTAGACAAGTATTTACAAACGGAGAAAAGTTTCGAACAACTAAACCGAAAAAAAGATTTGGTACAAATATAAATAAAAATTTTTATTAGTAATTTCAATAGGATTTGATCGCTAAAGTTATTTGATATCATGAGTATACAACAATGAGCTGAAAATCGACATTTCTGTTCACTCTACATGCTCAATTTTATAAAATTGTTTAGAACTAATAATAGTAACGAATCGACTAACTCATTAGTATTGCTGATAGCAGCGTGGCCTTCAGTAATTTATACCGTTACCAGCAGAAATCTGCTTAATACATTAGGCCGGGTTCGATCTAACTTAATTACAGAATGTTGATAGCAGATACGTGGCTGCAGATAGCATTCGCGTAATGGGATGCCATCGAGTTATATCAGACAACCGCAGTTCCCAGGTAACATACTAATAACTGACACTACCTTACGTTACCACAAATCTTGTTGACTTAAGTACGAATGTATTGCTAATACCGAATGTACATATGTATATATAGCTAGTTACATAGCGACATTGGCTTCAACGGCGTGTCATCACCGAATTAGATTTATGTTCGTTCTCTCAAATTACAATTCGATAACAAGCCAACCTTGAAAAAATATATTCCTTGCCGTTTTAACATAAAGTATCTGGGCGTGGTGGTGGATAGTCGTCTGTCTTGGAGGGAGCACATTCAGTCTTTGAATGCTCGTACTCGCAAATTAATTTATATATTTAAAAAACTCAGATCTGGTGCTGAATTGTCCGTCTTAAAAACAGTTTATTATGCGCTGGCTCAATCCATTACATCTTATTGCATAACAGCCTGGGGAGCAGCAGGTAAGACTAAGATGTTGCGCTTAGAAAGAACACAAAGGGCGGTTCTCAAGGTCATGGCAGCGAAACCAATTAGATTCCCCACAATAGACTTGTACGAATTTTGGAAAGTCCACTCAGTCAGAAAATTATTCGTTTTAAATGCAACAATGCGCAAGCACTCACAGGTACCCTATGATCCAAATCTATTCAGGAATAGACGAAGAAAAGACAGGGTTTGTGAGACAGAGAGTTTCAGGATTGCTTTAATAGGTCAACATTATGACTACCTCAGTTCCCAGCTTTATAATCGGGTCAATAAAGAACTAAATATCTATCCGTTAACTTATCGGGAATGTAAATTCAAACTTTCTCAGTGGTTACACAGTCTCAATTATAATGATGTTGAAAGCCTTATTACTGCTTAGATATTGTCACATACACGAATACTCACACACGCATCTTCTCACAAACACACACACCCTACACGGAATGTCACACTCGCCAACAAATACACACACAACAAATGCACACACAACACACACACACACACAACCCACACACACATGTACCCACATCTAATATTCAATTACAAAAAAAAAAAAAAAAAAAAAGTTACGATTATTGTAAAATTCTTTAATAATATAATATTAGTATTACCGTTACGAATAATTCTGTAGGAAATATTCGTAGGAAGTAAGTTGTTATATTCCATATCATATTGTGTACTTCATTAGGAACAGCTTTTATAATTTATCCGGAGATGGGCGTTAATAGCTGCGACACAGTCTAACTGACTACTGCGGTTGTTATCAAACATTTTGTTTTTGTAAATATTGTTATTTTGTTCCAATAAACGTTTTTATTATTATTATTATTATTATTATACCTAAGTCTATAATTTGAAAATCATGAAAAAACGAAAATTCGCGAATTAGATAGGTGTGTACTAATGAGAATTTAATAGTGTTGGTGTCGGTAATTTGCGTGGATTCTCCGAAATGTGTCAGGTGCAGAGTGCAGGAATGTAACAATTTGCCGGGCATGTCGCGAGCAGGTCCGTGGGAATGCTACACCTGCCGTACACGAATGTAAAATGGCCAACTCGTACGCCATTCTTTTCATTGGGCTAGCCATTACTTTATTTTGAACGAGCTTAATCTGCTCAGAAACTGACTTGTGATTTTTTACACAATAAAAGCAAAATAGCAGTCAATTGTAATATATCGATACGATTTAATACTCCGAGAAACAACCTCGTATATCTAATTTTGTCTCGTCGGATAAAGAGAATATGAGTAAGACAGTATATATCATTGCATTGAGAAGAAATTCCATTATGAAAAGGCTGAGTAGAATGTGTGTTTGTTTAACTCTGACTCTAGTGAAACTTAGTCGCAATGGAATAATACACGTCGTAAACTTACCTTTTTTAGGGTCCATATTAAATTTCTTTCTTCCTATGCTCATCTGTTTGGCTTTGCTGTTTTGTTTGCACTCCTCCTGCCCATCGAGTGCCTCCAATTCGGCCACCACCTCGCCGAGCTCATCTTTGAGTTGCTGAAACAAATAAAATTAATTATTTTATTATTGTATGCGGTGCAAATGGGCACGGTGGTCAAACTAATTCCTTTTGATTAACATGTCTATGTGAGAGTTATTAGCAACATTCTTTTGTTCAATACATTAGCAAGGCTGCGAGGCTAAGAAAAATAAAATCGTGTTATGTGTCGTATCTTACTATAATATATTGTTGTCTAGGCTTGCATTTCTACATTCTCTACTTCGCCCTCGGTAGCCGAATGCAAGGTGAACAACAAAACGACAATGCATCAGTACTGCAATCTACTGTGCGGAATTTCTGTCGATATGCCTTTCAAACTCTCAAACCAGGATTTCATTCTTTACTCCGTGTAAATTTCCTTTCATTTTTGCTGTCAGAGCGAGGGATAACGACGTGATAACGCATATTATGGTAATGATCTCGGGGAGTTATTTCGTTCCCATCTTTCAATAAAGCATCAACGCTAAAAATATTGGAGATGATGAAAATGGGTAATTAAAATCTCCGAGTCAATTAAGTACGAGTTTCTTGTCTAGTTTTTGTAGAGTTTTATGTGATGACATACGGAATTTTTCTAAGGCGAAATGCCACCGACATTAATAGAATTTTTAGCCTACAGAAGCGAGCTGTTAGGGTATTTTTTTTATTTTATAATATCAATAACGGGACGAACAAGTCGTGCGCCTGATGGTAAGCTACACGCCTGCCCATAACAGTTCCAGTGTCACTCGGCTTTTTAAATCGCAAAGATCTGAGGCGCACCGCCACTGCGCCCCAGATTTTGATGGATCTCTGAGGGATAAGTTTAAAAATTTTACATTCATATTAATTCCAATTCATTATTACTGAAATATAAGGATAAGCATAATATTAAAACGACATAAAAATAAGATGTCTGTTCTGAACAGTCGTCTTCGCAAAAGTTACACATTCAAAAAGTCAAAAAACCACAAAAAATTGAGGAGATTGCACGGGGCAATGCATAATTTGCCCATGAAATAAGATTCCTGTTGATATTTAACATTTCAATCTCACTATATATAAAACTATCGTGATACAAAAAAATACTAAAGTTTACTGCTACACAGGTTGCTAACGTACAGATCTGCGTACTTGGATGACAAAAACCCAAGGGAGTGATCCATTTAACTTTTTTTAAATTACCTCCGTGGCCGAACAGTTATTACGCTGGTCTGCCACGCAGAGGTCAAGGGTTCGATTCCCGGGCCGGGAGAAATGTTTGTATACATTTATGTCCCTAGTGAGTTTGTGTGTAATGTGTGGTTGTCTATGCGTCCATGGCACTCGCGACACAGGGTTTCCTTGATGCGGGGCTATGAGGGTGTGCGTTAATATTATTATTATTTTACTCTTTCGAATAGTTTCTGTTTAGGCGTTTTAAATATTGCAAATTCATATAGAGCAATTTATTTTCAAGGAAATATCCTTTACGGATGAGTAATAATAATAATAGTGTTTATATATGTTAACAGTAATGTTTATTCAATTTAACGATTTCAAGTGTAATTTTCTTGCCTGTGAAATGATGATTTTTTTAAATTTATTATTTCGAACATTATACACTTTTACATCTTAATGTGGTTTCAAATACCAGAAGTCTAGAACTGTAAAACTGAAGCACACGTTGTTGGCCAAAAAACACAATTTTGTATCTGATCCATGAATATACAAACGCTTTATTGCTGCATACGGATTTCTTTGAAACATATTTTGCGAAATTTCAAAGCTTTAGGCACTTTCGATGAGTCAGTGAAACCGGGTACAAACTAATTAACCACATACAATGTATGTTTACCCATGATTAAGGCAGTATAAACGTAAACACAGGCTATTCTATATGGTCTGTAAATAGTGCTTATAAATGTGCTGGGCCTATTGTAAAACCTTTAACATAAAAGTACAAAGCATGGGCTGGGAACAATGACCGCATGCCTTTTTAGTTGTAACAAAACAGGCATATGCTTTGCATGTAGCTTTGATGTCTATGTAGACTGTTCTCTATTTCCATGCTTTTATATAACAATACTGAAGTACGCTGACATGTAAAGACGGGTACTCAATAGCGAGCTGTAACCGTTGCATGTTATGTTACCAAAAACCATAGTGTGTACATGGTTCGCGAGCTTGCCGCGAGCGGAACGCGTGCTGTTTGCAGTGAGCCGTCTGATTGGAAGACTGTTTCAAGCGTACACAGTAGAACCTCGTTACTGTATCTGTCATGTTACAGTTGCAGCTCGCTAATGAGTACTTTTAGGCTTTACTAAAAGGGACGTAGTAGGTATTTGAAATAAAACAATTTTGTGAATAGCTTTTTCTTGCACGGAGCGATTAAGACCGGGACAGCTTGTTGGCTTGATTTATGTGTAATACATAATGCATTTCGATAGGGGTCGTAGACTCGTAAACAATGCAATTACTAAGTGCCATTGTACGTATTTCCATATTGATTACAACGGAACGGTAAGTTGAACAAAGCAACCTTCTCCATTACGCGTCACCCTGAGGGTATTAACTCTGTGCATACTAAATAGACGAGACGTTTAAAATAAGTGGGTGACTATTGATTGACCAACACTACAAAATCTTGCAATGAATCTAAACAAGTATAATTAATAGAATAGAATAGAATAGAATTATTTATTTCGGACCACGATCCATAGTAATATTAGTAATACAGTAAATTTTTAATAATAATTGTAAGATATCAAACACTAGAACTAATACTTCGTCATCATACTCCTTTCACAAGCGAATATTTGTTTCATATAGCTAAAGCAAGGAGTGAGTAAGTATTGAGACATTACAAAGGAATTTTACTAATGATCTATATCTACGTACGGTTGGAAAGATAACGTTGTATACTGTACAGAGGCTACCAATTGTATCTGCAAACGCTGTATAAACAATAGCAGAGGTCTAACAAGCATACATACGCCGTATAACCGCCACGGTCTGTCTGTTCGGAGCTAACACAATTTGCGGTCGGCTACCTATCCCTCGAGTTTATTATACCTTCCGTAACTAGGTATCTATATAATACACAAAGAGGGTAGCGCTACACACGTCCTGTGAAATGTTTTGCCTGATGTACACTGGTATCACCTTCAACCAAGTAAAGGTAAGATATATAATATGATTATGTTAGTACATTCTCAAGTTCAAAACGTACAAAGGAAAAATATTTACCACCAAAAGAAAATGTGACGTATCCTTTTTCAAATCAAATATTAGCATTGGAAATGGCATCTATGACCTTAAATTACTAGGATGCTACTTCAATATTTTATAGTTAGGGCTTTGAGGCTCGCGTTTGTTTAAGGGGTAACCAACAACTGTAGTTTTTTTTTTTTTTGCTCTAGTTGTTTGTTGCCATCAGGGATAGGAATAACCAAAGAACCTTTTACCTAATTTTAAATAAAGTAATACGATCAAACGAGTTTTTCAGGATTTCAGAAGGTATTATTCACTGAACGTGTATTACTTGAAGCTTATGAAGATATATGTATATTGCGTATACCGATTTCCGGCTGTCATACACACTAATTGAAATATGGCCGTATGTTTTTGTGACAGCCTGTATAATGCCTATAACCATGTTAACACGATATGCATACGTGAGCATTTTGCATTGAGCATTTTATAAAACTCAACGAGCCATTGTGATTAAAAACGAATAATTAAAAGGCACATTGAAAGCTTCATCGTATTCCCTTAATCCATATTATGATAATAGGTCGTATGAAGTTAGGTGCACTCAATGGATTAAAAGATCGCACGATAATCTTCATAAGGCAGTTTTATCGATACTTGTGAGTAAGACTTAATTGTCATTTCTAGTTTCATAATGGTTTTATGTCGAAGCTTTTTGCGTTAAATGTGTGGGTGTATGCGCCATTCGCTCAATGGCATATGGGAATAGCAGAAAGTTGAAGTTCTATGAGACACCCACACGCAGCATAACAGGTCATTTAAATAAAGGTAAAAGTTACAACTGAATAGCAATCCACAACCAAACTCGCGAGCGATTCAAATCAACGACCTTTATAAAATAAGTAAACATCGCAGAAAGATGCTTTATCTAAAGAAGGATGGCGAAAGCTGCCCCAATAACGCCGAAGAGCCGTTCATGGACTGTGCTAGTATAATTTTGTGTTTTAGTTTATGTTAGTTATCAATATATTTTTGTATATTTTTAGAAGTCAGGAATAAAAAAAATTTAAAACTTTGTATTTTTAAAATAGATGCAAGAACAAAACGCAATTGATTCAGGACGACCATAGATTAGGTAACGTTCTTGTACGTATGTTTCATTTTAAGCATGATTGAATGTTTACCTACCAGAAGTATTGGTTATTTTATAGTATACACATAAAACTTTAAAGCTATAAAATACCTAATGAAATTATCAATTAAACAGTAATGACAAAAAGCAAAAAATAGAAAACACAATATGACAAAAATATTTAGGCAATATTTAAATGAGATACAATTAAAGTTGCAAAGCAACGTTTTGATTTTGTGGCAAATTTTTATTTTTATTCACTTTCATTGCTGCAGAACATGATAAGTTATATTAAATGTGGCTGAGTTTGGCAGATTCGGGAATATTCGGAAAGTTCTTTATTATTTTTGGGAACAAACTGAAAATTTGTTGTTTGCTACTACGAACAAACACCTAAAGCAAAATACAGGACAATGTTATAAACATAACCTATATCAACTTTATAACCCCAGCTTCTACAGACTGAAGTCATTAGCTTTTTTGATGTTTTGATAATGAACCACAAGTATCGATAGGTCTCCTTAATGAACGTCGTCAAAAACGCTGGGTCACAAAATACACGGGATGTTACCATCCTTCTTTAATTTCACTTTTACTTGTAACAAACTAAAGGCTCTCAACACCTGCGCTAGATCAAGCCTAATAACTAAGAACGCTTATTATCAAAGTTGCCCCCGGAAGAACACTGCTTGC